AAGTATTAATAGATAGCCACTCAAAAAATTTAAAAAAAAAAATCTGTTGTGAAATAAATAGGAAATTCTGCATACTTTGTCCCTTCTTAGTCATTGACAATCCACATTATATATTAAAGATTCTGCAATGTCTTGGGGGTTACCCAAATTTATTTGACCTCATAACCCTTGTTTCAAGAACATTCATCAATTTGTGGAATAGTCTTAAAGTAGAAAAAGAAACTTGGCTAATTCATAGGGCCTGAAATACAACCACAACCATACCTAACATTTCACCTTGTATACATTAAACCTCTCTGAGCCTCAGTTTTCTCACGTGAAATAGTGCTATAACATCTCTTCAACCAATTGTTATTAGTCAGAACTTAAAAAACATTAGTTCCCATCCCAAGAGCTTCACCCTCGAAAAACAGGCTCAGGTCCAAATGTCTTTTTAGTTCATGAGCAGAGAAAATAAAAAAGATAGATTACAAATACAGGAAATAAATTATATTGGGTTTTTGTTGTTGATGTTTCAAAAGGTTTATACAGAAGTTGAAATCAGCTCATTGGCACCTCTCTGAAGCAGGCACTGGAGGACTTACCCCCTACTGCATAGACCCTGTTGACTCTCTGACCTCACTGTGGACATTTTTCTGTTTCTTAAGCACACTACCAGATATCCCTCTTCTCAGCAAGAACTAAAACCATGCTCATGCCCTTCTCCATTATCCTGTGGGGCAAACTGATCACCTTCTACTCCTTATCTCATTACATTTTTCAAGAGAAAAACCTTTTATATTGCTTTTCTCAATATATAAGTGATAACAGAACCAACTCTTACAAATTTCCGAAGACAGTAAAACTTGTCTTTTTCATTGTTCCATCTGACGCTTTTTTATCTTTCTCTTTCCAAAATTTTAGCACTCACCATTCTTTTCTCTTTCATTCCAAATGCCTCAGCCCCTTATACAACGTTTGACTTACCTGATCCATCACTATAATAGTTCATTTAAGCAAAGTCTCCCTCTATATTCTCATATTTAAAATTTTCCTCTTCTTCTTTTCATACTGCACATTTGCCAAACTTTTATTTCCTCAGAGCAACTAGGATCAGGTGAAAAATAATATGTCATGAGGTGTGAATGACTGGTAGCCACTCTCCTCCACTCTCGATGCCAAATGAATTATAGAACATTTAGGATTATTAGTGCTCTATTAGTGCTCCTCTGTTTCTTGTTCTCTACTCCTTCCTGAGTACACAAGAACACTACACTTCCCGGCCTCATGCACTTTGATGGGAGACTCTCACTTCCAGATCAAGAATTTAAGTTTTGTACCACCTCCCCACCCTGTCTTCCCCTGTTACAGTGACAGTAGAAGCCCATGTGTTGAGATGGCAACATCATATGAAGGAAGAAGCCTGGATTCCTGACTTATTGGACAGAGGGAAGCCATCATAGATGCACATTGGACTTTATGCCAATGAGAAAAGAATGTTTGTTATGCTAAGCTTCTGAAGGAAGCTCTGGTAACATAGTTCCTAAGGCACTTGACTGCTAACCAGAAGGCTGGTGACTCAACCCACCAGCCACTCCTCAGAAGGAAGGTTGAACAATCTACTTCCGTAGTGATACTGCCTTGGAAACCCAAGGAGGGGTCGCTATGAGTCGGGTCTGACTGGATGGCACATAACAACAACAACAGTAAGCTTCTGAGACTCCAGGGCATGTGTGTTGGAGCAGCTGATGACTACTTACCCTGATTAATGAAAACACCATCTATTTTGACTTTCAGATTTTATATGGAAACTGACAACCAGTATTAGCTCTTTCTTTCAGCAGAAGTTTAATCATTACATTCCCTTTCTCAGTCTCATGGACATTTCACCAGTTTGTTGGGAAAGAATTTTAGTGGGGATGTGGTAGATATATGAAATTATCAGTAGTTTGCCTCAGATATCAAATTAAATGTTTCCACTGAGGCACCAAGTACAATAGATATGAAATTCCCAATTTAGGTGCCAAAACAAAATTCATAAATGTCAAAATAGGTGACCAAGAACTGGTAAGATGTCTTCAACCCACAAATGGGACAAAAAGAAAAAAACCTTGAAAGATTGAAGATAGTAGAAGTATTTGTGAGATTTCTTTGAAGATAGTTTCAGCTATTTTGTAAGTGCCACCCATACCTCCAAAGGAAGGTTATAGACTGCTACTTCCTATCCACTAACTTAGTGAAAGAGGCTCCCAAGAGACCATTTGGAGTGATAGGTAGGTGTCTGTTATGGATTGAATTCCTTAAAAAATATGTTGAAATTCTAACTCCTATACCTGTCAATGTGATTCTGTTCAGAATCAGTTTTATTTTGTTATGTTAATGTGGCAATACCAGAGCACTAATACCAGGGTCCTAAACCTAATCACTTATAAAAAGGCATACAGACACGCAGGGGAAATGACACAGATGCACTTACAAGAAGCAAAGGAATGTCAAGAATTGCCAGCAGTCCCAGAATCCAGGAGAGAGGTCCATGGAAGGGATCAACATGGCCAAGGCTTTGATTTGAACTTTTAGCTTTCAGATGTGTGAGATAATAAATTTCTGTTATTTTAAGCCACCCACTTAGTGGTATGTTTTTGTTCTGTCAGCACTGGGTAACTAAGACAGTGTCCCTTGCAGGACTATAATGTACAGTTGTACAAGCTATACACTGTACATTCCTAGTAGGCAGAATAAACATTTTAATGAACTGTTTTACTTATGATCATTGCCTGGAAGAAGATAGTAAAATGTCTAAAGGAAGAAGAGCTTTGTGTAATGGACACAAAGATACTTTTTGGTGTATCCATGTTGCTCCTATGCAATTATGGAGACACGTAACTGAACATTGTCTGCTACATACCTGAGGAATCTAGGGGCAAGAGACTGTAGTCATTGACCTAAGGTAGTAGGGCAGAAAAGGAGCCCTAGTGGCACAGTAGTTAAGTTCTTGGCCACTAGCTAAAAGGTCAGAGGTTCCAGTCCGAACCCACCAGTGGCTCTACAGGAGAAAAGACTTGGCAATCTGTTCTGGTAAAGATTACAGCCTGGGAAACCCTGTTGTTGTTGTTATGTTGTTACGTGCTGTCGAGACGGACTGACTCATAGCAACCCCTCCTTGGGTTCCAAGGCAGTATCACTATGGAAGTAGATTGCCCAATCTTCCTTCCAAGGAGTGGCTGGTGGGTTTGAACCATCAGCCTTCTGGTTAGCAGTCAAGTGCCTTAGGCACTATGGGCATTTCTATTCTATCATACAGGGTAGCTATTAGTCAGAATTGACTCAGTGACAATGGGTTTGGATTTTTATGAGTTGGAAATGGCTCAACAGCATACAACAACAACAGTTAAGGTAGAAAGAGAAGAGACTGCAGTCACATTTGAAAGGTAAAGCAAATATCCTTTGGTAGGTCAAAATCTGTGAACTCAGAGTCTGGATGTGGAACCCATGGCAGGAATGCTGGTCTGAGATTCTCAGCAGAAAGCCATGGAAACCAACAAAGACAATGTAGGTGGGGTAAACTTCAGGAAAACAAGAAGCTGGTCAGAGAAGCAGAGCAGTTGGTCAAAGGAGAGTCTTGCTTTGTCACAGGAATTCAAATTACAAAAGTCCCCCACAAGAAAGAAAATCAGCTTAAACACCTGCCACGTCCAGGGGACATGAAGCTGTGTTCTGACAGCACAGGCCAAGTAAGAGCTTCCACTATTCTTTTCCTCTCCTCTCTCCTGGCACCCAAGCACAGAGGGACCAGAAAAGGCAGTGAGTAGGCTAGGAGAAGAGAAGAAGAGATGAGCCAGATCACAGTCCTCTTCTGGCAAAGGAATCCCCCACCTACAAATGGTTCAAAATGAGAGAAGGGAGAAGATTTCACTACAGAGCAAGCTAGTTTGGAATCTGATAGGGGGAAGTGGTCGTTCAGTGACAGAATTCTCACCTTGCATGTGGAAGATCCAGGTTCAATTTCCTGCCAGTGCACCTCATGGCCAGCCACCACCTATCTGTCAGTGGAGACTTTCATGTTGCTATAAAGATGAGCAGGTTTCAGTAGACCTTCCAGGCTAAGCCTGACTAGGAAGGAAAGCCTGGCAATCTACTTCTGAAAATCAGCCAGCAAGAACCCTGTGGATCACAGTGGTCTGATCCCCAACCAATCATGGGGATGGGGCAAGAGCAGGCAACGTTTTATTTGGTTGTGCATGCAGACTCAGCAGCAGCTAACAACAACATTACCTGACCAGGAATTCTCTTGCAAGACTAGGGCTGTATTTTGAAAGCCAGAGTGACCTTAACGTATTATATAAAATGAGAGAAAACCCCCCACCACCACTAATTAATTTTAAAAGGACAGTGGGAGGAAAAGAATAATGTTGTGTTTTTATTGCATCTTATAATTAGTCAATATGCCAGCTATACTTGAGTTAAAAATACTTTCAAGTCAAATTTGATTGAAATTATGTCTGGACAATGACGATGATTCCAATTTTTTGAAGCCCAATTTCCATTCTAATAACAATTGAAAATAAACCTATAGCATTGCATAATTCTGAATCAGTCCTTCTCAAACCTTCATGTGGCCACAAATTACCAAGAGGTCTTATCAAAATGATAGTCTGATTCAGCAAGTCTAGACTCAGCCTAAGAGTCTACATTTTTCACAAGCTCCCAGGTGATACCGGTGCTGCTGGTCTACTGACCAAACCATGAGAAACAATCTTCTGTATCATATAAAACCTGCGTTGATTCTTCCTGTAATACAGCAGTGGGAAGGGACCCACTTGAAACCAAGACTTTCTGAAGCTATCCTAGAATGTCAACCCTGGAGAAATTGAGGTACAGAAATAGGAAGTCCTATTCTGGGTCAAATAGATAGTGTTAGAATCAGGGGTAGCTCCAGTCCAAGACACCCCCACACTCACCACTCTTTTCTCCCTCAATCCCCACCTGCAGTGGATGTAAAAAAGAAAAAAAGAATGGCTTACCCTTCACATTTTGCTGATACTGTCTCCAAAATAGACTCATTTGCTGGGATGGTCCTGGAGTGAATAGGAAACAGTCCTCCAATGACAAGTGAATGGTTTTTGGCATCTACATACCCATTCAAATCAAACTTGCCAAGTAACCGACATGTCTGTTCTTTCTCTTCTTCACTTTTAATGCCCAAATCAGCCAGTAAAGAAGCAAGCAATCCAAGAAGTAAGACTTTCTTTCTGATCACCATTTTAACAAGGTGAATTTGCAGGAAATGGTTAGTGTTAAAATTATACAAGCTTTTGTGTGGCATGTTGATCCAGTGTCACCACCAGCCTGGGTATGCCACATCCCAGTGGACTCAGCTTGCTGCTACTTGCCACATAATTGTCACACCTCATTCAATCACAGAGCCTCACACTCACTCACAATTTATGGATCTGGACTAGAAATTGAATAATCCTTTTGGAAAAAAACTTCACAAAAATCTCTTTTACGCTTAGCAATAATATCTAGCAAATTAATAGTGGGCTTTGAGTTTCAAAGAGTCATCATTTCATTTTGCAGAAATTGCCCACTACCTTGTTTATCACGAATCTGCCCCATTCATTCTTACTTCAGTCACCTTGTGGGAACTTTTCTTGCCTCTACAGGTGAGGAAGGCTATCCTGCTTCACCACAAAGTATAAAAGGTGACATCAGGCCAAGTTGTTTCCTTAGGGGTATAGAAAAAGTATAGTTGAAAGCTATGGGGTCTGAAATAGAAGATACTGAGTCTGTGTTCTACCACTTTTATAGTGTGTGCTGGTGGGCAAGTCAATTAATTTCTCTGCACTACAGTTTCCTCATCAGTTATAAGGAGGAGAAGAATCTGCCTTAGACTTTTTTGTAAAGCCAAAAACCAGTCATGATTTTTTAATGTACGTATCATTTTCTTCAACTTCCACTTCAAAGTATTGCTCTTGGCCCACCAGCTGATTTTGTCATTGGCTCAGGCACAGATCCTGGGTTCTTCCCTGACAAGACCCTCTCTCCTGCCTTTCTTCTGGGTCACTTCTCAGAGCCATCTTCCAATCTCTTTCTCTAGAAATTCATCATGGATCCCTAATTTGCTGGCCCTCTCTTTGTCCTTTCTGAGACATCTCTCTTGGCGTATAAATTCATAGAATATTTTCAGAACACTATCTGGCAATTTGTATCAGGAGCATCAAAAAGGAGTATTCCCTTTGGATCATGTGATTTTACTTCTAGGTATTTATCCACAAGATATGCCCAGGATGTAGTAACTCTCCACACAAACATGATGTATGAGGATTTTGAGTGGAGTTTTGTTTATAATAGTGAGACACAGAACAAACTAAATACATACAATAGGGATTGTTAAATCAGTTATGATATATTCATGTGATAGAATACTAAGGAGTCATTGCAATTATGTTTTAGAAAACTGTTCACTCACAAGGGAAAAGTTCACAATATGCTTAAAGTGGAGGTGAAAGGTAGCAAAGCAGCATATGTAATGGTGTTTCAAATTTTTTTAATTCACAAATATAACTATCTTTTATCCATATATTTGAAATAAGAAAAGACTAGAAGAAGCCACTGCAAACCAGAAATCAAAAGAGAAAAAGAAAGGAAAAAAAAAAAAGTCCCTGGGTGGTGCTAATAGTTACCACACTCGGTTACTAAAGAAAGGAAAATGTTAGAGGTTCGAATCTACCCAGAAGAAAGGCCTGGCTATCTACTTCTGACAGATGACAGCCATTGAAAACCCTGTGGGGCACAGTTCTACTCTGACACACATGGGGTAGGTACCGGTCAGAATTGACTTGACAGCAACTGATTCCCACTATTTTAACATATTAATTATTTTCATGTTCATTTCCAGTCCAGACCATATACATGCAAGACTTTTAATTAATTACTTTAGGTAGTGGATTCCAGATGATTTTAATTTTCTTCTTTCTACTTTTCTATATTTTCCTACATATTCTACAATATTCTTGTACCTTTTATGAACAGAAAAAAAAATGCTAGTGTAAAAAAAATTCCCCTTATGTTTTATAACTTATTTTACACATACTCATTCAACTCCAACCTACTCCTGTATATATCCCTCCCCTATATCTACCACCCTGATGTTATTAGCATTGCCAGCTCCCTGAGTCCCTACCACCTTTTTCACATACAGGCTATTTTTTCACCTTATCTTCACTTAAAGATTTCAAGTCCATGTTTGTTAGTTAAGTGTAATCTCTCCTTGACCCTGGGAACTCCCAAAACAAGGTCTCACATTACTACCTCACTGATAAGAGTGTAGGCCCATACCTCCAGTCTCCCCACAGCCAATTAGACCATTGTTGTTGTTGTTGTTGTTGTTGTTGTTGTTATGTGCCATCGAATCAGACGGACTCATAGCGACCTCTTCCTTTCGAGGAGTGTTGGGCAATCTACTTCCGTAGTGATACCGCCTCAGAAATCCAAGGAGGGGTCGCTATGAGTCAGATCTGACTCCACAGCACAAAACAGGTAAGCTAATGTATAACACACTTGTGGCTCCTAACTGAGTGATGCTTTGTCTTTGAAGTGTCTAATTAGTCTTCCTTTTCTAAAGCATGAGTGTTCACAGGTCCCACCCTCATGCTTTCAAAGAGATGCTAACAGACTTAAAGAAAATGACTGATTCCCAGAGGGATCTCTCCCCAGATATGCCTCAGTGTTTGGCTTAATCCAAACTAAATGGCTCTTCTGGATGGCAGATCATGCCTCAGCTACAACCTGAGAGCCCCTCTCTTGAGCTTTAAGGATTTAGTTCACAGCCTTTCTTGGAACTATTGTAATTATTCCTCACTCACATTTGGTCTCCCTTACTTACCAGAAGGCAGCTGTTTCTGAGCAATTATCTCTCTTGTTACCAGGGCACTCCTTACACAAATGTATGTTTATCACCAAAGCAGATTTGTCTTAATCTCCTGGGCAAAAGCTTTCTTGGGGACTATACAAAGTCATTAGATTAGATTATTTTTAAGTTGCATCAGTAACAACAAAAACTAGCATTTCCACAGCATTTTATATTTTACAAATTGTTTTCACATGCATTATTCTTCCTCTGGGTCAGGAATTAGATTAAGCATTGATGAGGCTTTTGATCTGGGCAGCAGCATCTGATATTCAGTGTTTTTGTAATTCCCAAGATTATAGTATATTTTACCAGGGCCATAATGATTATGTTGTGCCCAGGTTATGAAGGAGTAGTTTGGGGTGAATAAATTGCCAACATGCGATAATGCAAAAAGCAATAGGAAAGTTTATTAGCTAACTTAAGTTAGGGTCCTTGCTTTCACCCTCGCAATGGGTTGAGCAAAAGACCCGTGCTCTTACATTAAGAAATATTTATAGAGAAACATAGGGTGGAGTAGATAATTTGGTTTTTATGATAGGGGTTTGGGAATTTGGGGCAGGTTGGAATTCCCCCGGTTTCAAAGGTGAGTGAGAGATTTCTTGGGCCGGGCGGATCTCTTTGATATGTGCATATTCTCTGCGAAACCCCGAGGGTGAAAGCCCTCATAGTCTTCAAAGGTGGGTGAGAGGCTTCTTGGAGCCATGCAGATTTCTGATAAAAGGCTCTGAGGTATGGGACATTTACTATAGGTATTAGGGCTCAGCATGGGATGTGTCAATCTCCATACTAAAGGCTTCTGGTTAAGAGACCTTTCAGGCTTTACAATTACACCCTCCAACTGCAATAGAATTCATCAAAGATGAGATAGAGAATAGGAAAAGCAACATCAGTGCTGCTATGCAGATAGCTTTTATTAAGTGCACAGTGATTGTGGTGCAGTGAATTACTTAATATGGGTCTTCTAGCTATGGTCTTTGTGATTCCTACCAGATGACTGGTGGGACCATGCAAATGTGAGGTGCTTGTGGCCCACCAAAGGGATCGGATAGCTTACTAGTAATGTAAATAAGGAACATGGCACCCTTGTGGGGATGGGACCATGGAAATAAGGTGTATGGAACCCTGACGTACGGATTGGTCAGTTTTTCCATCTCACTAGGCTTCTTCTTCCATAGTGATACTGCCTCGGAAACCCAAGGAGGGGTCACTATGAGTTGGGTCTGACTTGAGGACATATAACAACAACAACAGGCTTAAAATGAGCCATCTCAGAGGCAGAAAGAGGGATCTCACCACCAGCAAGAATGAAGAGCCAGGAATGGAGCATGTCCTTTGGACCAAGACCTTGTGCTAAACCTCTTCAATCCAGGAGACAGAGAGAAGCTGTAACACTTGACAGAGAGACGACAGCAGCAGAAGCACCAGAACCACCAGGTACCAGAGACTAGCCCAAGACAGAGTGGTGGTCTTCCTGGCCCACAGAGTGAAAAAGCTGAGTGCCTTCAGGCAGGAAGTTCACTGGTGGAGTGAGGTGCCTCTCTGGGCACATATCAGAAGAGCTAAAAGAGCCTCATAGCACTTGCCAGAGCAGGGCACAGGCTGAGGCCAGAGAGAACCATGCCCATGGCACAGCTGAGAAGCTCTCCCAATTGAAGTTGTTTCTAATCTTGAAGTTATTTCTGATTATCTTGAGTTGTTTCTGATCCTGAATTGTAGTCTGTTACTTCCCTAATAAACTCCCTAATCATAAGTAGTGTCTGAGTTCTATATGGCCATTGCAACAAATTATCAAACCCAGCAAAGAAGTAGAGTATTGTAGGAGGGATGGTTAATGTCAGAATTGGTAAAAAGGTTGGAAGATGGCAGCACATCTGACCTCAAAGGAATCAGCCTAGAGCTGTTTATGCTGTTTTGGATCCTCATTCCCCCTTGTGTACTTAGAGGTCAGAGGACGCAGCCGCCACACTCTTTTTGCAGTGATGAATGCTCAATACCTCAATCCACCCTCATCACACTCTACATGGCTAGTAATGTTTTGTTCACTTCACAAATGAAGAAACGTGAGCTCACATGGCTAGTAAGTGTCAGAGTGCAGGTGCCGAAGTCCATGTCCTTTCTGAGGTATAGCAAACAGAGAGGACCCAGACTAAGTCCAGAAGGATGCATTCTAGATCCAGCTTCCTCATTGTCTGACCATTTCTTTATTTCTTTGGATCTCATCACAAACCAAGGAGATTTGTATACTAAATGGCCTTTTTCAGAGTCTAAAGTACTGATAACAAATCACTAATGTTCTAATTCTAGGTGAGCATCACAAGGATGAAATTCACTGATAGTTTAATAATTTG